ATCTGAGAGAGGTCCACATGTAGTACCTATATATGTAATATCAAAGCAATTGCACTTGCGGTTTTTAACAAGAAGTCGAAAATATTCACTTTTTACCAAAAATGACAAAAATATTTACCAAAATTAGAGAATTGAAGATATCAACATGAAATGAACAAACCAAAGAGAGGTCTACCCAAGGTACATATACACCAAGTATCAAAGCATTCAGGCTTGTAGTTTTCAAGAAGAAGTCGAAAAAGTAAAACATTGACACAGACGACGACGGACAATCACTCATATCATATGATAAGCTCCGCTCGACAAAGTCGACAGCGGAGCTAAAAAGTCAGGAGAGACAACAGTGACATCAATGTCCAGAACTGTCGCCTGGCACAAAACTATGAAAAAAAAAATTAAAAAAATATTTTTCTAATTTTTGCAATTTGATGATTTAATGGCATCAGTGATAATCAAATGTCACAAAAGTCGCGTCTTCAAGATACCCTCCCCTTATATCACTAGTCAATTTCTCATCATTAAAAATTTTACGATTTTCCATGACTCACAAATTAGCGACAAAATTTGCCTTGTGAAAAAAAAATTTGCTAATTTTTGCAATTTGATGATTTAATGGCATCAGTGATAACCAAATGTCACAAAAGTCGCGTCTTCAAGATACCCTCCCCTTATATCACTAGTCAATTTCTCATCACTAAAAATTTTACGATTTTCCATGACTCACAAATTAGCAACAAAATTTGCCTTGTGAAATTAAAGAGACTTAGAGTACCTGCAATTGGTCGTTATATTACACTGTGAATTGTTTAATCTTTGTCACTAGCAATTCCCATGATTTGATCAGAGAGAGATTCATGCGTACAAAATTTCAGGAAAGTCGCTGCGACATACAGTCTTGAAGATCTCAATGAAATGATCACTGCTTAAAAAAATTATGTAGTTGCCACGAATCACAAAATTTACAAATATGTTTCCCACAAAATGAAAGCAGCTTGCAGTCTTATTCATCATTGGTTACCATGGTGATAATATGCAATGTCTCGGAATTCTTTAAATCAAGGAACAACATGCAATTGACTGGTCCTTAAATTCTTGCAACTCTATTAAACATAGTTGTATTCTATAAAAAAAAAAACACTTTCTATAACCTTTTGTCCCTTCTAATATTACACACAGATTTGAGAAAACCACTGCACAACTGACGGCCAGATCAAACCTTGTCATGGAATTCATGCGTAATGCGGACACAGGTACATACATATGCAATAACTTAATAGATGCTTACTAAGAGTACTTTCAATCTTTCCAAAAACTGCATTTATATATGCAGAATCATTAAAATATGACGTACTTGAACATGGATACACTTCCGGCATATATGTAAGCCTATGCACAACTAATATAGCTTAATTAGGAAACAATCTTTATAATTGTCATATTTTGGTCAGAATATTTGATTGAGAGTACAGCGACCAGACTTTTCGAATATTGCTCCTTTTGTCAGAGTATCCAACAAATGCTACCCCGATGCACTCAGCTGCTACAGCACAGTTCGATAATTGTACAACATTAATTTGATCAATAAAACACAAATTGGATAAAACATCTAATATTTTTATATATTTATAAATTCAACGAAATGTGTGACAGTAAGAAACAAGTTTTACTGACAGTGTCGATTATAAACTAAGAAAGATGTGAATTAATTGTTGGAGAGTTAAATGTTGGAGGAAGTATTCAGCATGTTAACTACCGTAGTTGTTACTATTTCAAGTGACACCATATTTTTGTTCAGTCAAAGTGGCAACCGAGTGTTGTATATAGGCCTGTTTAGGTTAGCAAAAA